AAGGCCAAAATAATAGCAGCAAGAACACAATAATATGATAGAGCATAATTTTAGAAACATTTAGGGAAAAGAATCATCCAATTTGGAGTTCATATAAGTGAGGTAAACTAGTTTTAAATTTTCATATTTTATTTTTGCATACGGCTTCTTAAGTCAACCGAATGGAAAAATTGATTTTTCCATGCGGGTCCTTAAGTGGTCCACATACAAACAAATGAAAAAATTCAATTCTGAAAAATAACCACTCCATTTTCAAAAACTTTCAATTGAAATGTTCAACCCAAAATTTAAAATATTCAACCAATTTTCAAAAATTTCAATGTGTCTGCGAAAATTTCAGTGATACACATTAATTTATTTGTTTCATGATAACATAAATTTATATGGAAAGTAAACACAACATTTTCTATCTCCCCCTTGTCCTTATAAATAGAGATAAAATTTGAAAATGCTGATGTTTTGTTTTTAAAAACTAATAGCTACATCTCTTCCTCGATTTAAGAAGCTTATTTCGAGGGATCTTGATATTTTGATAATTATTCGTTACTGTATTCGCTCCGTATCTGTATTCGATAGTATTCGATTCCGTTTTCGTATCCTTATTTCCGATTCCGATTTCGATTCCGAGAAAAAAAATATGAAAACGAATATGATATAGCTATTTTCCGACCGTATTCGATGCATTTTCATCTCTACTCTTGACTCTTGGCTGCGGAGTGCTCGAGGGGGCTGGGCCACCGGAAAACTTGTATGCACAGGGCGTGCTTCTGCGGGAGGAGGTCGTAACGCTAGATGACGGCGGGGAGAACTAAGCTGCTGCACAAGCAAATGTTGGATCGCCGGTGCGCTGTTGTGCACTTGTGCTCTGCTTCTTCCTCTTGTTCCTGCTACTGATGCTAAGTGCAATAAGATAATGGAAACAGGTTATACAAGTTGCCATATCATTTGTACTTATATGGAAAGGAGAGGAGAGAAAAGGAGACTATAGATTTATATATAGCTACAGTATAAGCTCTAATAAAATACTCTATCTATCCCACAAATCCTAAGAGTTTGTCTAGATTCGCTATACTAGGATATATCATTATTCGATGTTTATTTTTTTACGAAGAAAGTACGTGAGAAAGATAAGTATATTAGGTATTAACAATGCACTATATATCTATAACTAGATATTGTATAAGTTAACTATTGGATTGGTAATAGATTTGAGTTTTTTAGAGATAGTAATTAGCTATATTATTAAACTGGCTTTTAGTGATTGATCTTCTCGATCTTATCTGAAGGGAAAAAAAATAGCTCGGAGCGGATAGATTATTTTTCTTCCTTTTTCCTGCGAAAACGACAGCAAAGGAAAGTTTTCTCTGATTTTCTTGTGGTTTTTTTTAATCCAAAGGATAGGAAGTATTCTAAAATTCCTCCAGAAATCCACTAATGCAAAGGAAGCCTTAAGGATGAAATGGATTGGAATACGTTCACTTTGTGTCCCTCTATTTATCGTCCAGACAGATTTTTATTCCCTAGTCGCCTCTATTTGCCTCCGCCGGCCTGCTGGCTTTGCCTGCCGTCGCCTCGCCTGTCCGCCCTGCTCTGGCGAGTTGGCATAGGGGAGAGAGAGAGGATAGAGATAAGAGAAGAGGTTTATTGAGATATGTCGGCGCCACCATTTTTTATTATTTGTATGTAACTAGTATATGGGTCCCACGGGTTTTATTATTTTTCCGGATCGAATTGTCACGTAAGCACCACGTCAATGCCACGTTGGACGATGATCTAGTCAAAGGAGCGTCACGTAGGCGCCACGACAGCCAAAATTAGAGACTATACCGTCGAGGGACCTTGTTTGCACGGTTTTGTAAGTTGGAGGATACATTGTATCCGGTTTTGTGCTGTAGGGACGAAAATCGATCTGGATTCCAAATGGCACCTAAAGTGAACTTGTGCCAAATGGATTCCTCTTCCACTGTTGAGTCCATATCAAAAGCCCAAGCTCACGATGGTGTCTGGGCCTGCTATCTCGTAAGCCTCCTTATACAGCTAATGAGAGTAATTTTATTCTTAATTAAATTTTATATGGGAGTACTTATGCATCTTTCGAAAGATTTTTATGATCATATCACACAGATTTTTAATCTTTGGATTAAAATCCCATAAACACAAAAGACAATTAAGAAACACCATAATGGACACTAACTACCATATCTTCAATAAAAATACCAAAACCAATATAAATTTTAAAACTTACATGCGAAGATTCAAAAATTACACTGTAACTTACAAAAGTTACAATGTAAGATTTATAAATTACACTGTAACTTACAAGAAAATACACTGTAAATTTGAGTGAGAAAATCGAGTGAGAGATAAGAAAAAAATCTTTCGAGTGAGATATAGCAAAATCGATTTTATATAGTACGTGTACATCAGCGCTCAAAAATGAACTTTTAATGTGTCTAAGCTTAAGATAATTCACCCTGTGATCTTCTTATGAGGATATCCTCCACTATTACCCGCTGGTAAAGACGCAACAAAGGACCAAGTGGTTCAGTTGTAGTCGGGCAGCGACCATATGAGCCTCTGAATAATCTCACTTTACTTAGCTTGGGAGGAGGAATCCACCTTAAAAGGGAGAGCCACACTTCCCCTATTGGACTAGTCTTTTAGAGAGATTGGGCCTTTCCCCAAGTGGGTGTGCTTAAGAACTGTTGGGGTCCGGACAACCTTAATTTGTTAGGGTCACCTTGCTTAGCTTGGGAGGAGTAAGCCACCCTTCTCCTATGAGTGGAGATTGGGCCTTTTCTAAAGTGGGGAGATGTAGGCTATGAGTGGAGATTGGGCCTTTCCCCGAGTGGGGAGATGTAGGGAGATTGGGCTTTTCCCCGAGTGGGTGTGCCTAAAAACTGTTGGCAGATGTAGGGAGATTGGGATTGGGCCTTTCTCCGAGTGGATGTGACTAAGACCTGTTGGGGTCCGGGCAGATGCAGGGAGATTGGGATTGGGCCTTTCCCCGAGTGGATGTGCCTAAGACCTGTTGGGGTCTGGGCAACCTTAATTTGTTGGGTCTCAGCACCATTACTGGAACTTGTAGATTGAAAATATTGGCATGTTTTGCAAAAGCAAAATTATAGATTAAATCCATATTAAAAAAAATACAAGCATGACATTGTCATGGACATTTGCACAGGAAAAAAATAGGGAGACACTAAAGAAAATCAAGCAAGTATGGACATACGTACCTTCGTCTTCGTATGGTATGACGTGCACTGGATTAGTGTTGGTTGCCGATTAGATGGGGAAATTTAACTATTTACCACTAATAGGTTTAGCATTATCCAAATTCCCTTTCTACGTTTGCTACTATTTTTTTTCCTCTAAAGTAGTGTCTCTTAACTACTCATGTAGCATGTCAACATGGTAACCATGAGCAAATTGGGTTTCAGCATTCCGGGCCCATGAGTGCTGTTGGACTGCAGCGTATATATGTTAATTACCCTTAAATAAGCATAATTTATACTAATTACCAATAAAATAGAATAATTATATCTAATCAATACTAATTTTGATAATTTGGTTACTAATTAAAAATTAAATATTGCTAATCAATTACGGAGTACTAATGATCGAGATTAGAAAAGGTGGATATTCTTATCTGGCCAATTTGGCCGAATACGCTCATCCAATATTTCAGGGGAATATTTCATCTTCAGGCCATACTATCCACCTTTGACTACTAGCTAAACACACACGAAAGCTGAATCACTATCTCCCATATAGAGATATCCCTCTAACCAAACATACCCTAAATTTGGTGGACCCGTTTTTTACCACCATTAGGTCTATAGAAAAAACCCTTAACGTGGCTCCACCTGGCTGACATACGTACTCCTCGTCCTATGGTCCTAGGGATGAAAACAAAGTGTATTCGGGACACGAAAACCGTCCGCCTGCCCGGAGAAAAAAGAATACGGATACAGAACCGGATAGTCTGGATACATATATTTTTTTACGGATACAGATACAAATATGGTATCACAATTTTTTACAGATTCGGATATCCAGTGAACAGTAATATTCAGATATCCACTGAGACAACATACAACATTTGTTTCTAACTCTAGACCTTCAACTTATCTCTTTAGATTTTAATAATAGCATACCTCACAACACTAGTCCACACTATTAATATTACTTAAACATTTAAATATTTTCATAAATTATACTATATTTTATATGTTATAATATCAGTTAGATATGTATTATACCAACACTGTTGTACATGTTGAACTTAATTAGCACCGTCTAGTCTATGATAAAACTTATTATATAACATGAGCTAATTATGCGTGATGTTATTTGTTTCTATTAGAAGTTTAGTTAGTGGTTTTCGTGTTCCGAGTAATATTTGTTTCCGTATTCATATCCGATCATATTCAATCCTATTTGTATTCGAGATCATTCGTATTTGTTTCCGTATATGAGTTATTCGTATTCGTTTTTTATCTAACAAAGAAAAATAAAATATGGTATGAGTATTATCCATCCATATCCACTTCATTTTTATCCCTAGTTGTACAACTTCATCATTGCGTACCACCCATACTGTTTTTTTTTGGACAAAGATGCCTTGTTTGTGACATTTTGATTTGGTGTCATGATATATTTTTTTATGGTTCGTTTTAAATTCATCATAACAACGACTGGACGATGCTACGTACTAGTCTTTGTGACATTATCGACAAATGAAACTCATCATTAATCTATGATTTTTTTTATATATGGGATTTTCGTCGTAGAATGTCATTTCTTGTAGTGCATGCATGGTGCAATTTACTCTTTATAAAAGAAAATTTGGGAGAGATTTGGGGAGCCCACTAGAGTACGCTGCGAAAAAGTGAGTTTGATTTGAAATGGAAGGCTCTCTGTAAGTACCCTGATTTTGGAGCCAAAAAGGAAGAGCCCATCTGGTATGCTTTGAGAGGCATGCTTACAGGTGAAGAATATAATGAACTATAGTAACATACTATTCGCAAATTATTTTTACTTAAGAGGACTCAAACATATCTACATTTATTTGTGATATTTGGACATCACACAACATTTATGGCAAAGTGAAGAATAAGCATAGCTCATTCAGCAGTGAACTAATGGGAACAGCAGAAAATTAATGGAAATTACATCGAAGTACCAATCATCAACAATATAGATCTCAAACGTTGCTTCTGAGCTACATATATTGTGTAGGGGCTAGAAGTATCTGGCCCCGGTACTTCAAGGTTTTGGGAAAAGTTGGATGTGAAAACCTTCAGGGAATCGTAGTCCTGGACCAAGCACCATTGTTCCTCCCTTGATCGCTTTCCATCTGCAAAGCATAAACCAAAGATCATTTTTTAACAGAGTTAAACATAGTAGAAAAACAACTATAGATGTCAATCTTTAATGTATTCATTACTTGTATAACAGAATTTGTTTTTTCAAAACAGTACATCTTTTAATACCGATGAAATTTAAATGATCTCGATCGAAGTTCTCTGATGGATTTTGAACTAAGTAAATCTTTACAAAAGTATATCTCAATACTGAGGTACCGTAGATGAGTACAAGTAGGTTTACCTATACTTGGTGACTAAGCAGTGGAGGAAGATCGCCGTCTGCAGCTTAGCGAAATCTGCACCAACACACAAGCGCAGTCCCCCTCCAAAGGCCATGAAATCCTTGGAGGCACCACCGGTTGGTTCAGCAGTATCCTGTACAGAGCAGTATGCATATTACAAATGAGAACTTATAGATGGCATAATGCTATACAAGTCACTCCAGATTTCTCAATATTGTTTTTTTTACTATATGACATAGAAAAAAAATACATACATATATACACTACTCACTTGACTGTTCAATTTTGAGTATTGACCAACTAATTCAATAATATCTAGGTATTGCCATAAAAATGATATTTATGGATTGATGTTCAAACGTACTTTCTTATGACTGACATTGTAAATGTAAGAAAAATAGTGTAAGAAATTTGTGGTAAAAATACATACGCCCTATATTTTTAAACGGACAGTACAAGCTACAGAAAAAATTACATATAAATTTTAGTGTATATATAGATGCATGGTTAGTTATGAAACATGATAGAACATACGTTATGAATTTTACAAACCTTCCATCTCCAAGGATTGAATATATTTGGATCCTTATAAATCATAGGGTTTAGGTGAACCGTGGAAGGACAAATCATAATTTTAGATCCTTTTGGGATAAAAAAACCTGCACATATTAGACAAACATATTTCAGAAGAAGATATTATAAAATGGTTTTTTTTTTGCAAATTGGTACTCTATGCATACTTCTGTTATGTATCTCTTGTACAAGTTCTTGTTAATAATAATAATGGTTTTTTTACCTTTTATATGAACATCCTCTGTGGCTTTTCTAAACATCACTGGAGCAATGTTAGCAAGCCTTAAAGCTTCATGTATAACCTACGAATAATTAAGGAGATGAGGGTGTGCGCGAGGATGGCTGATCTTTTATATAAATAATGCTTCAGGAATTTTAAGTCATATACATGAGATGTAAATTTCATAGATTTGTATTCCTCCCATGTGATTTCAGAGTTCAGGTCGACCCTTCTTTTCTGAATGTTATCATGCTCCTCCTGTAAACAACAAATCAATCTCATTTTGTTCAACAAAATGTATCCTGAATTATTTGCATGTAACAATATGCTGGCCTAAACTAGTAATTTAATTAATAATGAACCCTAAACATCACTACTGTTTGAAAATGATGGAAATATATCTACTGTAAAAGAAGTTTATGACTTGTACTTACTGCTAATTCTTGCAATGCCTCGGGATTATCCGTTAGAAATCTGACCACTGCGGTTATAGCGGATGCCGTGGTCTCGAAGCTGGCAAATAGCAGCAAGAAGATCAAATCCAGCGCAACGTTCTCACTGATTAAAGGCTTCTCCTCGTTCAGCTCCTCGAGCAGCACATCAATGAAGTCAATGCTTCCCCGTCGCCCTGATGCCTCCTTCCTCTCATCAATCAATTCTTTCAGCATCTTCATGATATTCTTTCGCCCCTGCAAGAATTGAATCCATCTCCATGTGGGATCTCCTTTTAAGATTACAAATTGATATATATATATATAGGACACTATTGTCAACTTTGAAGAGAGTAGAAAACTGTGCGATAACTTTTTTTTAAGGTAATGGATTCCGGCCTCTGTATCGATAAGTGGATATATTTTTTTACCAATAATAAGTGGATATATAATTATGCTATAACTTAGCGGCTAAATTCCTCTATTTATTTCTCCTCTGCAAGTTGATTTATTTCTGCCAATTACCAGCTATGTTTTGTATCCTTTTTGTTAACATGCATGTAGCTGAACCATCTATCACCATATACTAGTAGATATTTACCTGCATACATTTGTAGAATGCGGTGCCAGGAATGCCAATTGGAAATGCCAGTAGACCTCGAATGAAAGCATCAAATTGTTTCCACATCTTTCCATCTGAGGCCAAGGAGTCATAGCTAATTAACTTCTTGGCTGTGACGCTGAATATCATCTGGAACATACTCAAATTTTCTCTAGTCAGAGTTAATTCACACATAGCTGAAAAAGAAGAGAAAAACTTCAACTGAAATATTCGCAATCGCAAAAAATTAAAGGGGGTGAATCCGTAATAGCCATTCCATCAGACATACGCTTGAGACTGCATCCTTGAGTTCGATGCTCGGTCGATCGAGCCAGGAGAGCAGGCTGGCCTGAGCCGTTCTGTGCACGTCCTGGAGCATCGCACGCCTGAGGTTTTCAGGGCCGAACAACCGAAGGATCAGATTCCTGATGTACTTGTGCGACGACCCGAGCGTCGTGATGATGTTGTCGGCGCCGATGATCCGCATGAACGAATCAGGGTACCAGCACTGGAAGAGCCTTTCCTCTTGCTGGAACACGAAGCTGTTCACCTCCGGATCGAGACACACGATCAGGTCTTGCCCGACCATGTTCGTCCTGAAAACTGGACCGTACCTGAGAGAGATGAAGTTGAGTAGTAGTGTTAAAACACGCGGGAGCTAATTAGCGTGTAACTCCGGCCCACGGCCCACGCGCAGCCCCCACCACGTCGTATCCCCTCCTTTTTTTTCGTTTTTTTCTTTTTTCCCGGGTGTATTTCCCTTTTTTGCGATTTTTTTCTCCTTTTCTGATTCTTTTTTTTTTCGCGCCAACTAGCAAGTTTTTAATCATGACTTGAAATTTTTCAAATCTGGATTTGAAAGTTTTCGATCTCGAGTTGAAAATTTTTAAATCTCAAGTTGAAAGTTTTCAAAATTTTCAAATTTGAACTTGAAAGTTTTCGAATCTTTAGATGGAAGTTTTTCAATCCCAAGTTGAAAGATTTTAATTCCGAGTTGAAAGTTTTCAATCCCGAGTTGAAAGTTTTTAAAATCTCGAGTTGAAAGTTTTCAAGTCTCGAGTTGAAAGTTTTCAAACCCTAGTTGAAAGTTTTTAAAATTTGAGATGAGAAGTTGAAAGTTTTCAAATTTTGACATAAAAAATTCAAATTTCAAGTTAAAAAGTTTTTAAATCTAGATTGAAAGTTTTTAAAATTTGACTTTCCGTGTAGATCTGTATTTAATCTTTTACTTGAAAAAAATTAGGACACGAAAAATTACCAAGAAATCAAAACTAGTTATGACGCTAATCACAGCGTTAATCGTGTTTTTATTCCGCGCTAATGACACGTGGCCTCCCCGGGGTGAAAATGGCGAAAAAAGCAAAAGCAAGCGATGGCCTGGGAGGTTGGGCCGCGTGCGTGTTGCCGGTGCACACGCGCCAACTAGGAATCTCCGTTAAAACATGGGTTGTTTTTTTGGAAAGGCCAACCAAAAACCTGAAAGCCCATAACCTTAAATACTCATGATAATTGATAGGAATAAGTTCATTTCAAGTCCCTCAAAACCGGTGCAATATAGGTCCCATGGCGGTTTGGACAGCGGTTTTAACTCACGTGGCGTCTATTGACTCGATCTTTTTCTGACGTGGCATTGATGTGACATATGAAGCAAAATTTAATAATTTAAAAATTAAAAAGAAGGGCCCATATGTCAATGCCTTTCCCTCGTAGCAGAGCCAGCGGCCTCAACAGGGGAATCCAGCAGCTGCGGCAGGAGGATGAGGCCGACCTATCCAGGCGGAGTCGTGGCACCCGGAGGAGTCAGGCGGTGGGGGTGGTCCCCCTGGTCGATGGCGGCTGCGGTCAGGTCCAACAACGACAAGGGATAGCGAGAAGGCAGCCAACGTCCCAGGTAGAGCCCGGAGGTGCGGCGAAGGGGACGAGGCCGGCGGGAGCAAATACCGGTAACCGAGATCCGAACAGGACAGCACGGTGGAGGAAAAGCAGCAAAGTTGGGGGCGCCGAAGCCATGGAGGCTGATGCCAACAGTGACCTGGGTAGAGAAGGTGTGGAAGGCGGGACGCAGCGATCCTGCTGATGGACGACGCATGTTGGTGACAGAGATGAGCTGCCGAGAGCTAACGGGGGCCTCCAAATCTCGGCGATGGTGCAGACGAGACAGAATGGAGCAGATCAGCACAAATCCTAGCAATGCTGCGAGGCAGCAGACAGAGCGGGATGTCCTGGAGCTGTTCGTCGGCCGCACACCAGTCAGGTCCACCGAAGGCCCCTCCTCGCCGGTTGCCCACACCAGCCGCGCACTGGTGAGTTGAGTTCACTGGATTCAGATCGGTGCCACTCCTTACAAATGGGGCTGTGCCACCGCAACAGGGCCTCACCAACCTCAAGGCTCTCTCCGTGCTCGGCAGCGTCACCAGGGGCATCGTCTTCCACGTCGTGCCTGCCGATGCTGCCACCACGGCGGTGACGACGGATGCCGGCACGGGGTGTCCACCCGACGTGGATCCATGGTTCTCAAGGCCATCTCCCGCTGCTCCCTTCCCTCCGCGGCGTTGTGGCCATGGACAGCGTCATCGGGTTCGCCATCGACCAGTGCACCTACCGCCCCAGGTCCACCGAAGGCCTCTCCTCCATTGCTGCTCAAGTCTAGTGAAGGCCCCTCCTTGGTCATCATAGGTCGCGCACAGCAACCACCACTGCCCGCCACCTCAGCCATGTGCCACCTGCCGCATTTAGAGAAGGAGAAAGGGGAGAGGGAAGAAGGAGAACGGGAGGGGATAAAGAAGAGAGAGGATGAGGGGAAGGAAGTGGGGCCCACTGGCATGTAGCTTCCACTATTTTTTAATCTTATTGTTTGAACATATGAACCTATATATTTTGTTTTAATTTTTAAATTGTTCAATTTTGGTTCATGTACTATGTCATATGAAAACCGAGTCAAATTAGCCATGTAAGCGTCACGTCAGCTGAAACGGCCATCCAAACTGCCTTGGACCTTATATTACATCGGTTTTAACAATTGAGGGACCGCTATATCTGATATTACGGTTCAAGAATGAAATTTGAACTCGCTGTCAAGTTTAAGGGACCTAATTGAACTTGTTCCTAATTTATATTTAGGGCCCAATCCTAGCATGGTCAGGCCGGGTTGCTCATCAACAACTTAATGTTGGTCCTGTTTGGCATGGCTTCAACCCTAAAATAATAGAGTGTTGACGAGCCTGAAGTATGAAAAGGATGTCTACACTACTAACCTTAATATAGTTTCAAATCCAACTCCAAGAATATTTTAGGGTTGGAGCTTAAAAATGCAGCTTAAAAAAATTAGGGAGTACCTATACATCTTTCAAAAGATTTTTATGATCGTATCACACAGATTTTTAATCTTTGGATTAAAATCCGATAGATATAATAAAAAGCAAAAAACAATTAAGAAACACCATAATGGACACTAAATTACCATATCCTCAAGAAAAAGACCAAATCCAATACAAAATTTAAAATTTACATGCGAAGATTAAAAAATTACAGTGTAACTTACAAAAGTTACGGTGTAAGTTTCATAAATTACACTGTAACTTACAAGAAAATGCACTGTAAATTTGAGTGAGAAAATCGAGTGAGAGATAAGAAAAAATCTTTCAAGTGAGATATAGCAAAATCGAAAAAATTAAAGCTATTCCGTCATGAAGCGTTAAAAGCATATTGGAACCAGTTTGGGCTTATGAGATACCCAAACATATTCAAAGATAAAATCCCTTGCATACCCAAATATATTTTAAAGATAAAATCCCTTGCATACCCCTACAATTTTAGTTAATCCCTTTTATGCCCCTGATTTTGATCCCTTCCATACCCCTCCCGTCAGTTGAACGTTAGTTGACCGTCTAATCTCTATAATAATGACAATTTTACCCTTTCGATGAACATAGAAATTTATGAATTACATTATTAAAAATATAAAAGTTTGTCGCATGAGACTATTATTATGAGTTTGTTGTGCGATGCATTATTTCTCGCAAAAATTATTTTAGATAATGAAATAAAAATATGTATTTAATTTTTTCAAAAAGTCATAAAAAATAAGGAGCATTCATACAAAGATAGGACTACCAATGCTCACAATAACTTTTTTATGAATGCTCCCGTAAAAAAATCCATTGTCCTATTAAAATTTCAAATAAAAATTTTAATTTATTATATTTTTTATTTTCAAAATTTATGCCAAAATTTTATACACTAATTATTTAGTTTCATTAGTTTCATAAATGCACATACTATGTACTCAAACAAAATTTTCAATCATTTTTTAAGCTTAGATTCAAACCTAAAACATCAAGGACAAAATAGACATTTGCAACCAAACGTAACAGTGAAATGAGGGAAAATATAACGGTAGGAGCATGGAAGGGATCAAGTTGAAATTTCAGGAGTATAAAAGGGATCGGGTAAATTTTAGGGATATGAAAACGATGAGTGAGTTTTAAGGGGTAGGGTGGATCAGTGCAGGGAGGAAGAGATCTACTCCTACGTAACATACTCCACTTTAAAAAGTTATCGGCACACTTCTATAATTATAAACCATGCCCCGTACCAACACGATCCAGACTTAGGGCATGTACAATGGTTGTCAATAGTGGTCTCTTAGCGTTGCTAATTAGGAATACTTGTTAACATGGAAGAAAGAGAAACAGGAGAGACAAAACATCGTTGTCATGCATAACAATGGCTTAACAACGACTCTTAATCACTACAATATGGAAATATGGTTGCATGAGGGTAAAAAGAAGAAAAGAATATTAACAAAAGGAATATTTTTTGAGTTAATGATTAGAGCCTTTATCGTCTCAACTATTGTAAAGACACATTCTCTAAATAATCTTATACTGTTTAAGAGACCATACTCGTCTCTACCATTGAACATGCGCTTATCCTGTATATGGAGGTGCCACACCTACTATTGGGGCACTAGGTACGTGTACGGAGGGTATTCATTTCCATATGGTATGATATCTCAATTATTATTTTGTAGAGGTCTTGTTTCATTTTATACACCACTTCAGTTTTATTCATTTCCAAAACTAGGTTTTGATTTTCAATACTACCTCCGTCCACAATATAATCATCTGTTTTCAATCATTTCCAAAAGTAGGTAGAAGTGAATGATGGAGGGTGATCTCCTCCACCAGGGAACCTTAAGGCCCCCCTTTTTTGAGTTCGGCGGGGGGCAGCGGGTGAGATTCGAGGTTTTTGAGACAAAAGAGACACAAGGGATTTATATAGGTTCGGGCCGCTATGAAGCGTAATACCCTACTCCTGTGTGTATGATGATTCTTCTCTGCTTGCAAAGCCTTTGAATTTCCGATGTACAAGCTAGGGTTAGAGAAGCTTTGGCTCGGGGATCCAGAGTTCGATCCCCCTTCCCGCTAGGTATGGTCCTCCTTTTATACTCTAAGGGGATACACATGTGCTGCGAGTGCTACCTAGGGAGAAGGGAAAATATTCTCTATATTAACTATATGTCTTGTGCCTTAGCCAAGAAGCTATCTGCACATCAGCTACTGCGCGGGGCCCATCAAATCATGTAGGGCGCCCTTGTCATTTGCCATTCAAT